AAATGAAGTTTTCGCAAGGCCTTTTGGGAAGTCTAAACTAAAGCCACGAGAGCTTATGCTTAAAATGGACAATATCATAGTCGTGTTCATCTAACAACTTGAACTTCTTTTAACTATAGATTACGTTATATGTGTGTGTATATATATATAGTCTTTTAAATAAATAAATAAATATATATATAAATAAATAAAGGAAAGAATTATGATGTCACCTTGGACCAGCTGTAAGGATTAAGATGTAAGGTAGGGAGTGTCCCCTTGGGATTTCCTTCTCCAAAATTGAAAGGTCCTGCAAATAATGAACATTAAAATATTAATTTTAATTAAATTTATTAGACGTCTCCATCACTAATAAATAAAATAAAATATTTAATTTCATAAAATTTCCAATTAAAAACTAATAAAAATTATGAAAATACACATTTTTAAATTATTAATATTTAATAACTTTTATTAATGCAATCGGTATTTCCCATCCCGACCCACAATTTATTTTTTATTTTTTTATTTTTTATTTTTTAAATTCCTACCCATCTCCCAACCTATAATTTTTGGTCCTATTCAAAGCAAGTGGGACCAACCCATAAAAATCACACCTAATTATAGAAAATAAGTTCAAATTAAAAAATAAAATTTAATAATATCTTTTTAAAAATTTCAAAAATACTCTTCATTCGATCTTAAAAAATACGTATTCGAACATAAAATTGTATTACTATGCTAATAAAGTTATATTATTCTCGAAATAAATTTGTAAATTTTAATTTTAATTTTAATAAAAAATTTAAAATTTTTAAAAATAGTCTGAATTTCAAGAAAATAAATTATTTATAGAAAAGAAATTGTAATTTAAGTTATAAAAAAAAAAAAAAAAAAAAAAAAAAAAGGGAGGGAAGTAGAGTACTACCGTGTTCATAAACAAAGCCGTCGAAGCTAGAGCAGCCAGGGCCGCCGTTGAGCCAGAGAACCACCGGATCGGCGGCGGGGCTCCGTTGCGACGTCACGAAGTAATAAAACAGCCTCTTCCCACTCGAACCTCCGTCGATATTTATATACCTAAAGAACCCCTAAAACTCAATCACATCGCACAGAGACCGAAATTCGGAACCCTAAACCCTAGAAATCAAAATCAAAATCAAAATCAAAATCAAAATCACGAAATTGAGAAGGCACTGACCCGGAGTGGTGTTTGGACGGGAAATCGCCGGCCGTGAAGCCGGGCAAGTGAGTCACCGCCGAATTCGCCGGAGCTGCTTCTGTAAGCCAACGATTATGGTTCGGAAGAAGTATCGATGCACTCCAAAGCAACACCAGTACTCCTAATTTCCTCATTTCTTCTTCCTCCTTCTTCTTCTACCTTTCGCCGTTTATATATATATATAATGAGACCCTCCTTTTTTCCATTTCAAATTTTGGGTTTATTTCCTTTTTAGTCCCTTCACTTTCGGCTTCTTTCCTTTTCGCCCCTCTTTAACTTTTAAATTTTATATATCAGGTTTAATTAGATTATATGTCCTAACCTTTTGAAATCTCGACTAGAGTGATCTTTGTTGTTTGATTGAAAGTTTAGCTACATTGGTCCTCTCGGGTTTGGTATTTGGAATACTTTCTATATATTACTTAAGAGATAACGTGCACCTACAATTCACACTCATTGTGAGACCTTACATTGATCTGAGAGAGGAATGAGTGTCCTCGGCCTCAAAGGAGGAGGATTGTGAGATAGGAATGAAACATTTTTTTATAAAGGTGTGAAAACCTCTTCGTAACAGACGCGGAGGGTGGATTGTGATGTTTCACATTGGTTGGGGAGGAGAACTGGGGGGAGAGTGCCAACGAGAACGCTGGGCCTCGAAGGAGGTTTTACAGCCTTGAGGGGAATCTCGAAAGGAAGCCCATATCTGCTAGCAATGGATCTGGGCCGTTACAGTTACACCCATCACTCTTTTTGTTTCGGTGCTTAATTCATAAGAACTTACAACAATATTCTTAAAAAAGAAATTGTATCCTTCTTAGAGGACAACTTTTACTCTCAATCTCCAAAACAGTCCACAATGAATAGGTTGCATGATTAGGTCATCGAGATGCAAGAAAACAGCCAAGTCATCGAGTGTCAAATTGGTCACATTAGAAGTCATCCCGAGCCAAACAAATTAATAATAATGATTAATCTAACAAATTAATAATAGTAAGTTTTATTGAAAATATATAAACTAAAATAGAATAAAACTTAATCTACATGGATTAAAATTAGAGGTGGTTGTGAGTTGAGTCGGTCTAATCGGATTGGATTGAGACATTTCTTAGACTCAACTCAATTGTTCGGACTGTAAATTTTTCAACTCAAATAACTCTTACTAAATAATGAACTCAACCCGATCTAAAAAATTTATAATCCAGCTCAAACCGTGCGAGTTAGATTGGTTTGATCGGGTTGTTTAAACCATTAATTTTTTTTTTAAATGTCACTAATTAAAATGATATTTTAGCGTTATATTATATATATATATATATAATTGGAATAATTTTTAATTATTTAGGGCTTGACGTTGGAGCTTTGTGACAAAAATTCAAAACAATGACAACAACGTTTGTGAACCAAAAAAAAACAAAGCATAAAATAAATAAAAAGGTAATAAGAAAATAAACATTAATGACCCTTCATTCAAAAGTAGCTCTCAAACCCTCAATTTGAATGTCTCTTCCTCTAGTAATTAGGTTAATTTATGGACCCAACCTAATCAAATCGAGTTTTACAGATCAGGGGCACGCACTAAGAGGCGAGCCAGACCGTAGACTCAGCCTTAACCTCTTGTCAAGGCTGAAGAGGAGGTACGAGCTTCGACCAAATTTCTGATTTTTATTTTACAGATCAGGGGCATGCGCCAAGAGGCGGACTAGACCGTATACTCAGCCTTAACCTCTTGTCGAGGCTGAGGAGGAGGTATGGGCATCGACCAAATTCCTGTTTTCTATTTTACTGATCAGGGGCATGCACTAGGAGGCGGACTAGATCGTAGACTCAGCCTTGACCTCTTGTCGAGGCTGAGAAGGACGTACGAGCTTGGACCCAATTCTTTTTAGATATGGGTGTTTCGTGTTTTTCTACTTTATTCTATGTTCGATCTCTTTCTACTCTTAGCTTTCTCTTTTTGACCAATGTTACCTGTGAGCTTTTGTAAACAATATTTTCGTTAAATGGGAAAAGAATCGATGATCCACCGAAATAGCAACAAAAAAAAAAAAAAAAGACAAACAAAAAAAAAGACAAAAGAAAAAGCATATATTTGACAAAAACAATGAATGGTGACAATGTTGGTGGTGTCTTAGTGTACATTTTAGAGTCTTCCAAGGTTTCTTTTTGGAAGTAAACCCTAAAAGTATATAACAATTGAGAAAAACAATACAAAGGATTGCTAAATGATTGGGGGAAGAGGAACCAAATTGGGTCCATTCCCACTTTGTGTCTTCATAAAGTTAATGTCTTTTGTTGGTTGGATTTTGATACCCCTAGACTTTTCCGTCTTCACGAGTGATTTCTTTCTCATCAGTGTTTGTATTATTTGACTCAATAATTACATCAATCATAAGCAAAAGACGCGTTTGATGGATAGAAGTTAGTGACATGCTTAGTAAGATTTGAAATTCAACACATCAGGGTCCCGAGGATCTCTTTCATCCCATACGTCATGACCATGTTGTTCGTCTAGAAGTTTTTTCAAGAGTGAAAAGCTATACCCACAAATCAAAACATACCCTTTATGCACGTTTTGTTCTCATTCACGTGTTTCCTAGAAAAATTTTCAGAAAGGTCAACAAGAAAGTTAAACGTATTATGCTTGAAGTAATTCTTAACCACTGAAAAGAAATGTGCACCTTGTCTTTCGGTGGCTCAATTTTAAATACTCTAAAGTTATGTGCTTAACTTGGAGCAATCATCTGAAAATTTCCCTAACCCTAAGTTAGTACCTTAAGATTACATTTAGTAACTTAGAAGCATTTAATAGTTCAAACTTAAGCATACGATTACATTTATTAACTTACAATAGTTTAGATGTTAATTAAAGGAAGGTGTACATAGTAAAAGATATAATCTTATTATTCATAGAGCATGTCGGTTTATCTTGCTTGATATGTCTTTTTTGCGGATCTGTCAAGAACGAGCTGACGACTACAAGGGAAGCGGCTGACTACAGTCCCTGAGCCCAGCTTGTAGCAAGCTAAAAGTGTGACTTGAACCTACTTTGCTAAGAGAAGATCTCGAAGGGATAAACAAACGGTAGAAAGCAATCTCTTCCAACCAGCCAACCCGCGAAGTTGAACACAAGCCCTTTTTAGTCAAGCTTCGACCGGATTCTTCTATCAATCTCCTGGCCCTTGCTTAACTCCTTGTTTTGTAAACTGATCGCTGGCTGATCTGATCGGACCTAGGACATGCGAGAGCTCAACCCAATATAATCTTATTATTCATAGTTTTAATATAAATAAATTTATTATAACCCATCCGTTTAAACTTTCAAGTCTCGGGATAATTTAATATATTATTAGAGTAGGTCTTATTTTCAAATTTCTATAATGTGATTTCTTCCTTAATTTAAATTAATTTCAATTTGTCTAGTGACGATTTAATGTACTAAATTAATAAAAATACACTTAAACTTTATATTTTGTCTAAAATATATTCTTAAAATTTTTAAAGTCTCAAATTTAAGCAGATAATTTATGAATTGGTAAAAAAAAAAAAAAAAAAAATTTTATAAAAATAAATGATTTTAAGGCTACTTTTACAATTTTATAATATTTTTTTATACCTAATAGTATTTTTGAAGTTTTAAAAAAAATAATAAATGGTATTAATGAACTAAGAGTGTTTTTTAGAATTTTGGAAATAAAAAATAAAAAAATTAGTTAACAACATAAAAATAAATATTAATAATAATATGTATAACATAATTAGAAAATAAAATTTAATTATTACAAGAAATAACTTCTTTCATTAATTTTCAAGAACAGAGGGGAAAAAATAGAAAGACATGCTGAGTGATCATACAGTGGCAGCTTTGAGTGACAGGAAATCTGAAATCTTGTTGGTGTAGAAATCTGGTTGTATAGTGTTCTTGGGACTTTGAAGGGTTGATAAGCTTGTAACACCTATCAAAACAAACACGACGTCAATCAACGTTTTTCGTTACAAAACACGCTGCTACAAAATTTTATGTTCGAGTCTTATTTTGATCCTGAAACGTTCATGTTTATTATTCTATTTTGATCCCTGAATTTTAAAAAACATTTGTGTTTGTCCTTGATGTTAACTTTTTATTAATCATCTAGCAAGAGTCTAGATTTATTCGAAAAATCGAGCACCGAATCTTACTGCTAGTAGATATTGTCTTCTTTGGGCTTTCCCTTTCGGGCTTCCCCTCAAAGATTTTATAACGCGCCTGCTGGGAGGAGGTTTCCAAACCTTTATAAAGAATGATTCGTTCTCCTTCCCAACTGACGTGGGATCTCACAACCCACTCCACCCCTCTTGGAGGTCCAGCGTCCACGCTAGCACTCGTTTCTTTCTCCAATCAATGAGAAATCTCACAATTCACCCCCATTCGGGACCCAGCGTCCTCGCTAGTACACCGCCCTGTGTCCAGCTCTAATACCAACTGTAACACCTCAAGCCCACCGCTAACAAATATTATCCTCTTTGGACTTTCCCTTTTGAGCTTTCCCTCAAGGTTTTTAAAATGCGTCTGCTATGGGAGGTTTCCACACCCTTATAAAGAATGTTTCGTTCTCCTCCCCAATCGACGTGGGATCTGATATACTTATGTTATATTGAGTAGCTTTCGGTACAACTAAAAGAGTTTTGGTATGCAACATTCAACGACCAAGATATAATATTTGAAAGATCAGGTCTCGAAATAGACTAAACGCTAAATTTCAGAGACGAAAATAAGATTTCAGCCGAAAAGTTATTACCTGACAAAACAAGAAGAGTCTTGCAGCCACCATTCTGTCCAAACAGAATATCAGTATCTAATCTATCTCCAACCATACATATTTGTGACTTCTGAATCCCAAACCTGTCATTTGGATTGGCATGAGCATCATTTGTTAAGAAGGATACAAGAAAACAGAGAAACCAAGCTTCACTTCATTCAATTTTTGATATCTAATAGCACAAAGAATGACCAGCAATAGATTATAGAACTGGAAGTGATATCAATATTCCAAAAGACTTCCTATAAATCTTCCTATTTAAGATGCGTTATTTAACTCGAAACGTTCTTGCAAAGTACTTCCCCGCCTAGACTAGCCCGAACCCTTCTGTTCTTCCTTCCTGTGACCTTTTCTTTTTGTAATATCTGCGAGTGTCGAGATTACTTGTACACACTTCTACTATACTGTCTAATCCTACTACGTTTGATTGTCAGAAAAACTCCTAAGATATAAGATCTTAAATAGTCACCATGACTTGAATCCATTCCTCTAGCTCCTTACTATTTTCATTAGCCTTTATTAGATATCAATCATAACAGCATATTTTGAACAGATCAATAACAAATATTACTTGTTTGCTAAGTAGTCCATCATGAAAGTTGAGGGCTTCCCCACGACCAATGGCTCACGTTGAGTCGATCCACAAAGAGCACCAACCATTGAACCCCCACCTGAGTTATACACACAAAAGAAAGCTAAAGAACAGTCCGGGTTTACATGAGTTCTTAAAATCTAAACAAACATGAAAAACATGAAAAAAGAACTTCAATTGTTCTTTAAAGAGCTTTCGATTTTTAGCTTCGAAAATAGTTATCTACTTCAACAAAGTAAAACTCGTAATCTTTATCCTGACAAGGCGTTACAGACCGGGTTCTTGGCAATCCATACAAGGACACAAATTGAAACTTAACCTTGTAAAAGTAATGATCAAATACTCCCTAAAATAAGTGCTAAAAGCCAAAGAGAGTGGAGAGAACCGAACCTGCCCACTCTTGCGCATCGGTCAGGTGAGTGACAGCATCACGATTAGTTGCAATGAAGAGGCAACCAGGGTTCTCCCGTATGCAGAGTGTTCCATACCTTCATTGCCCAAGAAAAATGTTAACAAAGAACTTCTTCGTATAGACCAACATGAACATAGCTCAGCAGTGAAGACGTCCACCGATACTCAAACATTAGTTGTACTAAAAAAATTTCTTAGGAGAGATCAAATATACTATGAAACATTCCATCGCATCACTATTGAGAAAAGAATGAAATAAACAAAATAATGATTCTGAGAATTAAGTTGTGATCATACCACCTGCAGAACCAAGTTAATGAATAAAATTTAATGAAGGCTAGGACTTACTGAACTTTGTAGTAGTTAAAGTATCGATCAAATCCAACGACAACAGCTCCCACCTTCATGGCAAACAAGGACTGATTTAGATAAAATTCATGGACTATGGGGCAAAAATGAGGAAGAAGAGGTGATTCTTGATTGAATATAGTAAGCCCGAGTTAGATTAGTGTATGAAAGTGATAGGAATGGCATTTGGGTAGTTACTAGTTAGGAATATCATTAGGGTAATAAGGTATATTAGTAATTACCTAAGGAATTTGTTAGTAGGGATTTGTTATGGGAGGTGAGGAAGGCAAGCACTGGTTTAGTTGGTTTAGGCTTGAGTGATCTCAAGAGGGAGGGTCCAAGTTACTCTAATTACTTGGGAGTTATTGTAGTTTATCTTCATCTTTCACTATATTTCAGCTATTTGGTTTACAGCTATTTGGTTAAAAGAAAGGAATAAGAAATGTCACAAAGAAGGATATTCCGAAGGATATCGATGTGTAATTGGCAAGATATGGGAGTTCGGAGAGTCCCTGAAAGACGTCCTCCATAGCTTGTAATTTTTTTTAGCTTAGTAAAGTTCTACTCAAAGGCTAGTGCTCTTCGGCTCTGTCGGAATAGATGTAACTTCCCACATTAGTTGGGGAGGAGAACGAAACATTCTTTATAAGGGTATGGAAACCTCTCCCTAGAAGACGCATTTTAAAAACCATGAGGGAAAATCCAAAAGGGAAAGTCAAAAGAGGACAATATCTGCTAGTAGTGGACTTGGGTTATCACAAATGGTATCAAAGTCAGACACCGAGCGATGTGCCAATGAAGAAGCTGAGCCCCGAACAGGGATGAACACGAGGCGGTGTGCCAGCAAGAGCACTGGGCTCCAAAGGGGGTGGATTAGGAGGTACCACATCGATTGGAGAAGGGAACGAGTGTCAGGAGGACGCTGAGCCCAGAAGGGGGGTAGATTGTAAGATCCCACATTAGTTAGAGAAGAACGAAACATTCTTTATAAAGGTATGGAAACCTCTCCCTAGCAGACGCATTTTAAAAAACTTGAAGAAAAACCCAAATGAGAAAACTCAAAGAGAACAATATCTACTAGATAGAACTTTGAAATATTTCTAATAAATGGTAGTAGTTAAGAGAAGTTACATTTTCATTCCTATTTGAGAACATATATACGAAACTATAAACGATAAATTTGTACGCAAATCAAGAAAGATCAGAAATATACATCCTCATCATGCTCCATCAGAAAGCCTGGCTTCAGTTCTATCTTCTTCCCACCATCATCCTGTAAGAAAATGAAAGATATAACATTACACTGTAAATTAAGTTTATGGGATACAAGAAACATAATTTACTAAAAGATTACAAATATATGAGTGATTTTTTCATATCCACAGATATTTCATAGCTCATGAACATTGAGAAACTTTATCATTAATACCGGTCCGCCAAGGTACTGATATCCAGCGAGTTCAAGTTCTTTCAAGATGCCCTCCTCACCAATCACATAAATCTGAAATCACAAAGCCACAAAGTCACAAGTCCAGGCCAAAATTTATGATTCACTATTGAAAACTTTAAGAAATAAGAAGATAGTGCAAAAAATGCAGTTCATAAGACAATGTCAAGTTTTTAGTTCGTTATTTGATCTAATTCCAATAACCTTCAGCTAAAATAAGAAAGAAAGGATCATGAACAATATAAAAGATAGCTAAATCAAGCAATTACCTTCTTTTCTTTTGGGAAATCAATGGACTTCAAATACGCAGCAGCAGCAAAAGATGATGCGAAAATTTCTTCCTGAAATACTCGAATTTAGTTAGTGTGACGAATTTAGACTGAACTTAGTAACTTTAAGTAATCCTTACTTCAGTAACATTGAGACCAAGTGTCTCAAACTTTTTGCCATACTGCTTCCTGGACTTTGTTGAATTGTTGGTAACAAAAACTAATCGCTTTCCCTGAAATTAAAAAAATAATAATAATAAGAGAAGGAGGAGAGGAAAAAATAAATGTGTAACGGCTCAAGGCCCACCACTAGTAGATAGGAGAAGCTCAAAAGGGAAAGTCCAAAGAGGACAATGTCTACTAGTAGTGGGCATGGACCATTACAAATAGTATCAGAGCCAGACACCAGGTGGTGTGCCAGTGAGGAGGCTGAGACCCAAAGGGGGTGGACATGAGGGGATGTGCCAGTAAAGACGTTGGGCCCTGAAGAGGGGTGGATTGTGAGATCTCACATCGATTGGGGAGGAGAACGAAACACCCTTTATAAGGGTGTGGAATCCTCTCCCTAGTAGACACTTTTAAAAACCTTGAGGCGAAACCCGAAAGGGAAAGCCCGAAAGAGAGGACAATATATGCTAACATTGGGCTTGGGACGTTACAAAATGTAAGAAAAAAAGGAAAGACTATCCAACAAACGAAGGAAACTACAGATTTTTGTATCATTTTCACTCGTGTATACAACTTTCTGTTAGTTTTCCCTGGTCACCATTGCTCTTAAGGCCATAGGATTCGAAAAGCGGTTTGGACGATCTATTTTTATACCTTTGATCGAAGCATATCAAGGGTTTCTGGAACTCCATCTATAAGTTTGTCTCCTTTCCATATAACCCCTGCAGTTAAATCATTGGACACCTTAAAAATATTGACCACAAAAAGAAGGGAAAAGAAAAGAGGAAGAAATTATCAGTACTCAGTTTCCCCCTTCCAACTACAGGCTTGACAGGAAGTCAAAGAGTCTCAACTAATACATTATCTTCTATATTTCCCTCTTTTGCAATTTCATATCATCTCTGCAACGTTTAATCTTGTTTTGAACAAGATAAACATAATAAACTGTTTATAAAGTTTGCAATCTGTTCTTCAAAAACATCAACTACAGCCTATGAACTCAACAAACTCCATTTAAGCAATAGAAAAGCAGAGACCCATTGAGAACAATCAAACGAGTTGGATATTTTGCATGCAACAAGTCGAGGGGAAATGGGAGAAGAACTGACCATCGCAATCGAAAATGAAGGTCTCAACAGAATCAATGAGTTCATCGGCGTTCTTGAGTGGCTGAGCCGAAGCACGAACAGCAAAACCCTCCATTCTAGACCTGTTAAACTTCCTCTTGCTGCCACTATTCCATCCAAAACTCACAGACCCAGAACAGGAACAATCTGGGGAAAACTGCCTGAAACCCAAGAATCGGGGTATGTTGTGGTTCAAATTGGCAAAGGGTTTGGATGCAACAATGAGTGAATGAGAAGCCGCTGGGCCTGCTGTGCTCAGCATCTCTTTTACTGCTTTTTGGCTCTTTTTCTGCAGCCTTGGTATCTGTGTTGGCAGTTTGAGGACGTTAGGGAGGGGTCTTGGGAAATGGTGTGGGGGAGTGACGTGGGATGAGTGGCACTCCTTCGTTTGCTTGGGATTATGTGGAATTCATCAATCGCTAAGGGCCATTCTGTGGACGATACCATTCCCTTGTGTTTTTCTTCTCTAAATTCAGGATTTTCATTTTTTCTGACTATTTATATATATTAAAAAATTTATACTTGAAATAATATGGTATAGCTATTTTTAAAAGAAAAATTCGATAATATTATTTAATTTACTTTAAAATAATTCTTTTTATTTTTTTTGTCTCCACCAAATCCGATGGGCGGTCAGAGTACTACTACGTATGATCAATGAAGGCAAACTAAGGATTTCAATTATAGACCAAAATAGAATGGATTGGGTAAGAAAAGTTTCCTCTTTTGCAAGAGCGATGTTCGTCGATCTGCTTCTAACTTATAAAGGAACTTTCATATCTCTAAAAAGAAGATTTGCTTGAAAGACGGTACCTCTACTACACTAGTCTACTAGCGGCCATCCCTACCTGTCATTTCACTCGAGACTGGGATTTCTTGTAAATGTGACAAAAATGATTGAAGAAATGATTGAAGTATCACGCGTAAAAGACAAAAATGCTAATTCAATTCTTGTTTTCATTTTTGAAAGCATGACCTCGATAAAAATGCAAATATTTCCTTACAAATCCTTACGAATTTTATTATATTCTTAACACAATTGCAATTTGCTATCTTCAAGATTCATTAATCAAAACTAATTTATCATCATCAATATCTCAACAATTTTTGTAGCATTACAATTTACACCATCGCCCAAGTTGTCCTTTTTGAATTTTTCTTTCCGAGCTTTCTCTCAAGATTTTTAAAACTGGCGTGTGCTAAGAAAAGATTTCCACACCTTCATAAAGTATTACAATTTGCTCATTTCAAGATATATCTTTTGAATCATCAATCAAAACTAATTTATCATCTCACTAATATCTCTAATGATTCCATCAACAATTTCAGTAGTACAACATACAACTTACACCCTAGTCTTAAGCACAACACTAGTAGATAATGTCCTCTTTGGGCAGCCCTCAAGGTTTTAAAACGTGTCTACTAAGAGAGATTTTCACACCCTTAAACAATGTTTCATTCTCCTCTTCAACCGACATCCTCTTTGTACAGCCCTCAAGGTTTTAAAACGTGTCTACTAAGAGAGGTTTTCACACCCTTAAACAATGCTTCATTCTCCTCTTCAACTGACGTAGGATTTGCCACCCTAACTTTCAAGTTTTCAAAGAATGTTTCTCAAAGAAACCCCGTTTAATTGTGCTTATTATGGTGGATAACCATCATAGGAGTTCAAAAAACTACCTTGGATTTTCTAATATCCAGATTCATCTTGTCCACAAAATGGAAGGCTGCGTCGTATCAAAAATCGAGCACAATCGATCGTGAACCTAATCAAGTTTGATATCCAACTTTCTTACTAAGAACCCACATCAAATCTTACGAAGTCTCCATCCTCATTATTCTTTCTATCATCTTCGTTATCTAAAACATCCCTTGAACAAATACTTCAAAAACTTGTTCAAACTCAGAAACCAAAAAATGCACAATCAAAATACACTTCTCAATTCTTCTACTACAACTTCTAAAGGAGTACAGTTCTACATGGAAACAAAATTTCAGTACTTTTGGAGGAAAACCACAGCCCTACCTTACAAACTCTTCAATTCAAAACTTCCCAGAAAAACAGAGGGAAAAAGGTGGGTGAAAAGAAAGCATGAAGATGCAGAGCCCAGGAACATCCATATCCAACCTGCATAACAAAACACGACATTCTCTTCAATATCTATCAACCTTCCTCTAATATTTATGATACTACTGCCTCCTTTGCAACTCAGTTTCGCTGCACACCCCACAAATCTTCCCTAACGTAAACCAATTATTCATACGTTGGATTCCCTCGAATTCTAGTTCTAGAATTATTCTTCGAAACATCCACAAAGGTTGTCTTGTAGCAATTCAATTCAATACATCTAGTAGACTTCACTCTACCTTAATCAATCCTTTTTTCTCGCTTTTTGTAAACCCTTTTTTCCAATCCAAGGGCACGACGCCAATGTCGGTTTCTTATTAAGCTCGCCTAAAATTTTGAGCACTTAACCTATGGGTAAGGTAGACTACATGCCTTAAGCCCAACTTGCCTTAACCAAAGGGGCAACCCTTGGGAGCTATCTATCATCCATGATCAATCTATTGCAATTGCCTCTTACCCAAAATTTTCCTTTTGCAAAACACTACTCAGTAGAGCTGCTGCAGAAACTCATAATCAACACATGCACAACTAAAAAACACTTCTCAATTCATTTCTTACGCATCATCTAAAGGTGTGTATGAACCTACATTGTTTCAGAATTCCAATAATTTCAAAGAATAATCCAAACCCTACATTACAAGCTTCTCAATCCAAAAATTCTCAGAGGAAAAAATGGTGATAAAAAGAGGAAAGGATGAGAAAGAATGGTTGAGGAACAAACCTAAGCCTAAATCTGCCTGCCAGCAGCATCAGCAACAAGCGGCAAGTGAGGGGTCCGACCCAGAAGGCAAGAAGCGAGACTGTAAACAAAACACAAAACACTGAAAAGAAACAATCCATTATGGCCCCAAACCATAATCTGGAACCCTAATCCGCCCGGACCGGGACTCAGAATCCTCTGTATCAACAACGGCACCGCCAGCAGCACGTCCAGAGTCACCGCCTGCATTGAATTGAACCTCACGTAGCGGTTGAAGTTAGGGTTCCGGACAACGCCCAAGTAGAGCGCAAAGAAGGCGATGAAGCTAGAGTGTGGGATCGAGCGATAAAGCCCTAGAATAGGGAGAATCGGTTCGAAGGCGAGGCCGAGGACCGGGTACTGGGTGAAGAGGAAGCAGCCGTACTGGAGGGAGTTGAAGAAGGGGAGAGTGTAGGCGACGAGATGAGGCGGTCGGTGGCCGGAGTAGGGTTGTAGGACATGCGAACGGCGACGGATTTTGCGGGTTTTGAGGAGAGAAGAGGGAGAGAGGAACGGTGGCGAGATTTGAGGAGGGACAAGTGAGGGATTAGAGGGGCTTTAATGGCAGTTTGAGTGGGGAGGTTGAGGAGAGGGATGAAAGTGGAAGCCATTGCTGCAGCAGAGGAGAAGAATGAAGAAAACGATAAAGCAATGCCCTTTTCAGGGTATACACAGCCTACGATACAATTCATCTTTTAAAATGATAAAAACACTTAAAAATGAATAAATAATCAATTATTGAACTCGATTAGTAGCTGCATTCTGCTCGAACTCTCTACTAAACTTGAAAGATTCAAATGTAACCACAAATAAGCGGATGAGAGTTTCCCATGAACGGATGATGTATCTACCTTAATAGCGCCCCTGTCAATTCAAACAAAAATTCACAATAGAAAAAGTTATTCTTACATGACTTCGATTTCGTTGAGAATGGAAAGAATTCAGCAACCCTCAAAATACTTCTCCAACGGCTTTACAAGTCGTAGGCCTACCATTCTCAGTGTCTAAAACTACAAAAGTCAGATCATTACCTTATCAATCGCCTCATTCTTCATTCTTAGACCTCGTTTTGATTGTCATGACTGCTCCATCTGCTAGTATAACAAACAAGAGGCTCCGTGTACAGGTATAACAAACAAGAGGCTAGTTCTATAACAAAAGTTGAGCTTCCTTGGATCTAAATCAAAAGTTAGAACATTTCTCAAACATACGACACTTTTCAAGATAAAAATGTAAAAATTTACAATACATGTGCAAAATTTAGCATTCTTTAAAAGCAGACCCCAGTCTCTAAGAAGTTTGTGAGATGAAGATCATAATTCATTCACTTAAATTTCGCCTATGTACTACGAATACCTAATATATCGTTGTCCTCAAAAGTATGGGCTATTGAACAACTGCATCTGGAGGTGCCACTTCTGGTATCTGAATACATTTTCAAAGAAACCTGAGTTTAATAATACTCAAAGATCATACGGAGGCAGCCAGAGTAGAATGGAAATGTTATGAACTCTAGTTTTCCTTTGTTCTTTATATAGGCTTGTGGTTTTCAAAAGAAACTTATGAGGTATACTTGTGTAGTCTACTTTCAAGAAGATTTTTAAAAAACTAAATAATTATACAAGGATAGATTCCACTGGTCTACATTCCTCTTTTAAAGAAATTTCCATTTTTATCTTTTTATAAGAAATTTAAAACAAATGGGTAAATATTTATAGCTTAGATCTATATATAACTCGTAACATCTAACAAACTTATATTCTAACACAAGTTCAGCTACAAACTACACTCAATTTGTGAGCCAAATACTCCGACATAGAGTTTAGGTGGGTTGTGAGAGTGGGAATCTCTAAAGGAAATCGATGGCAGCGTCATATCGATATTCACAACTGTTAACGATACCGATACATATGATGAACAAGAACAAAAACAAATGAAAAACATCGTACCTCTCCAGGAACCCATTTCTCTTTCAACCAAATGCTGACATCCACAGAACTATTTTCCTGCTGTAACTTATTTCTGCATAATTGACGAGAAAAACAGAACATAATTTTCTAACTTTTTTAGGTGAACAAATTTAGTAACGTCAAGCTGCTTGAATTTAATTGTTATTGCTAAAAAGATGATGACAAATCTCATAAAATAAATAAGAACCTAATAGCAGTTTGATGAAATTGAAAGTAATGATGTTCAAACATGAAGTTGGAATGAGACTGAACAAAAATTTCCAGTGGGGAGGAAATGATGATGCACAACCACAATTTAGTGGCTAAGAACTTCTTAAAGGTTTGTAGCGAACAAATTCTATGAGATCGGACTCAAATACGGAACACATGCTCCTAGATGACACGACTCAAAAGACAAGGTGACAAGGTGAGGCTAAGAGGTGTTGAGGATTTGAACCCATGGGATTGGGAATTCGAACTTCCAACCTTTTGGTCGAGGACATGTTTTGACGAGGTGAACTATGTTCAGGTTGACTTAAATAATGGAAGTAATTAACGTCAATAACAACAATATCAAATATCAAAGAACTTCAAAGAACTTCGAAGGATCGACTATTTCATTTCCAGACAATAAAATTCTACTAAGAGGCTAGTAATAATAAAAGAGGGCTTTTATTAATAACCCTAGTTCAAATTTAAAGGAACTAAACGTTTATCGAGAAAAAGATGAAAGAACATATAAAAGCATCCAAAATACGAAGGCCACAAAAGGAAACGAAACTAAAGAAAAGGGCTCTAGACAAGTACAATAAGACCCAAAGAACAACTACAAAACAACTTCATCACCAACCAAACAGAAACATAGAACCTAACAAAAAACCAAACAGAAACATAGAACCTAACAAAAAACCAAACATCAATAGAGTCTCTCTCAGTCCCTCTTAAAGGTCCTAATGATATGCTCTCCCCACAAACCTCACAAAATAGAGCAAACTCTTGCTTGCCACAAAACTTCCCCTCCTTTGCATGCAGAATGCATTTAGGTTCTCTGTCTCACCATCCATGGTGTGATTAAGACTCACAAAAAGTTATCAAGGATGATGACTAATTTAAGTGGGAGAATGTCATAACCATACTATTGATAGAGTAGGTTGTGACTCTCATATAGAGACAAAAAAGACGACGACCCTCAAATGGCACCTATCTAGCCACATGAGCGCCAAAACAAACAAGTGTCACGATGCGACCGAGGAGGACGGTGCATCATCCAACACACTATATAAAGTGTGCATTGAAGCTGTAACACCCTCTCATCGACAATGCGATTAACAGGAGTTACTATCGACACCGATAACGAACTTTGACATCAAATCATAAATTTCCAATAAAAATATTTCATAATATTAAGTAAAATACTAAAAAAAACAGTTCTGTTTAAAACGTTATTAACCTACAAAAATCTTAACAACGAAAACATATTTACATAAACAGACCCAGACATGGATTCCCAGTAGTCTCTAGCCCGCTGGTCTCGTCCTTGGTTGGCCTGCATCATCTAAATCTGGAAAGAAAAGTTATAATAATTTTGATGAGTAATTAGATTACCCAATAAGTAGCTAACCTATCTTTCATGAGTTCATAACTAATCTTTCCAGGTGTTTTAAGTTTTATTCGCCCTGACTCCTAGTTTCTCTTACTAGGGTCATCTGTTCATTAATGAGGTATCTCAGCTACCTCCAGCTTAGGTTACTGACTCTCTCTCGATATGTTTATCTAGAATTTTCGGCCTCGTATGTAAGACTCGCTCTCGGTCAAATACGGCCCGTCTACTAATTTCTCTGGCGGTCTGTTTATTGCATATACCAACGGTCAGGAGTATTCATGCTCCCTGACTTAGCACACAGCGCGTTGGTCAGGAACTCCGCGGGAATTAGTAGACTATGATACTCATATAAATAAGTCATGGCTCAACAACCAATAAACATATCCTAGAGTCATAACCTTTCCATTAACATGCATAACATACTCACATTTACTGCATGCTTTCATACATTTATCATGTTAAACACATAAAACATTCTGGCAATCATTTATATCATGTTTACATCACAGGCAAGCAGTCACAATAAACATTCAATTATCATCAAAGCTCATCTTAACATACTAAGCTCTTAATCAGATAAACAACAAATTCACATGTTGTAAAACAAGTTAAGAACTAGTTCAAAGATCGATATGCTACTTACTTGATTTCGAACTCCTTTTCCCCTTGAATGTACGTTTAATAGGTATTCCAACACAATTCCTTCCTATTAGACCTATATTTTACCAATTTCAACATAAATATAGACCAATTTTGATAGGATAGGTCAGAAGGAGTCGAACGAGACAAACCGGGAGCCAAAACGACGACGCACGCGCCTGCACACACTTGGCATGTTTTTCTCACGCGACTGATCTGCGCACAGTCGCACTACCACTCTCGGACTCCCACGCGCCCCGCGTGACCCTCACGCGCTCGTCTTCAACCTTTGTTTCCTGCAATTTTTTTCCCAAACTTTTCCTTTAATACCCGTTGTATCCCGAAGCCATATTCCATCTCTACCGCTCAGATTTCGTTCTGACTTCTACAACTTTATAGATCTCCTAATTACGGTTCTAACAAGCCCTATTTCATAATTTATTATGCAATATGAACCAAGATATCGAGATTTAAAGGTTCGGTGATATGGGTTTTTCGTTACCTTCGAATAACCGTCCGATTCCACTCGTGGCCGTGTCCCCTTCCTCAAAGGATTCCTCGGCAACAACCTCTCTTTCTTCACCCTCGATTGATAACCAAACTTAAGCAACCCAAACTTGAAATCTCTGAATTTTTTTTTTTCTCCTCTGTTTTCTAAGTTTTCATTTGTCCGCTGCTCTTCGTTCGTTTTTTTTTTTAAAGCCTAATTAACTCTCTAATTTGCTTCCACACCATCTAGCAAACCCTTCATCATTCCAACACCTCCAACCCACGCGTCCATTCTCCCTTATCCTCCTTTACAGCAGCTGCTTGACGTGGCTCCTGTGTTTTCGTTTTTGTTTTCGTTTTTTTTTTTTTAATTTCCTTATTTACAAATTTTATTTTTATTATTATTATTATTCTTAACAAACACACCAACAAATAAATACAAAATACATATTATCATTACTATTTTAGGTTATTATAATTCTACCCTCCTTTTAAGAACTTTCGTCCCGAAAGTTTCCAACTCCTTAACCAAGTATGGATACTCTCGTTTAAACTTCTCTTCTCTTCCCCAAATAGCCTCATTAGCTTGCTGATTCTTACATAAAACTTTAACAAAAGGAATATCTCTGCTACGCAAAGATCTCACTTCCTATGCCAATTTTAACGGGTTGTTCCTCATAGCTTAAGTCCTCCTTTAATTCCAAGTCTTCATAATGAAGAATATGCATAGGATCTACAACAAAACTTCCTCAGCATCAAAACATGAAAAACATTATCTACAGCATCCAACGATGGTGTTAATGTCAATCTATAGGCTACTGGGCCAACTCTTTCGAGGATCTCAAAAGGTCCAATAAAACGCGGGCTAATCTCTTCCTAATCTTCTGAATCGCCTCATTGGTCGTTCGTAGCAAATTTGGACCTAACAGCGGTTTACTACCTACCTCCTCCCAATAAATTGGAGTTCGACACCTCCATCTATAAAGTGCTTCAAAAGGAGCCATTTGGATGGTTGCCTGATAACTATTGTTATAGGCAAATTCCACCAAATATAGGTAGGTGTACCAGATTCTGTTGTGCAGATAGGGATACACGGTTTACCTCTCGATTCTGGAAGAGTCTTCAGGAAGCCCTTGGTACACAACTGAAGTTTAGTACAGCGTTCCATCCTCAGACAGATGGACAGACAAAGAGATTAAATCAAATTCTCGAGGACATGTTGCGTGCATGTGTACTTGATTTTGCTGGCAGTTGGGACACCTACCTATATTTGGTGGAATTTGCCTATAACAATAGTTATCCGGCAACCAACCAAATGGCTCCTTTTGAAGCACTTTATGGACAGAGGTGTCGAACTCCAATTTATTGGGAGGAGGTAGGTAGTAAACCGCTGTTAAGTCCAGATTTGCTACGAACGACCAATGAGGCGATTCAGAAGATTAGGAAGAGAATTTTGACTGCCCAAAGTCGTCAGAAGAATTATGCGGATATTAAAAGGAAGGACCTAGAGTTTGAGGTGGGGGATCATGTGTTCCTGAAGATTGCACCAGTTCGTGGTGTTTTGCGATTTGGTAAGGAGGGGAAGCTTAGCCCGCGTTTTATTGGACCTTTTGAGATCCTCGAAAGAGTTGGCCCAGTAGCCTATAGATTGGCATTACCACCAGCGTTGGATGCTGTACATAATGTTTTCCATGTTTCGATGCTGAGGAAGTATGTTGCAGATCCTATGCATATTCTTCATTATGAAGACTTGGAATTAAAGGAGGACTTAAGCTATGAAGAACAACCCGTTAAAATTTTGGCACGGGAAGTGAGATTTTTGCGTAGCAGAGATATTCCCTTTGTTAAAGTTTTATGGAAGAATCAGCAAGCTAATGAAGATACTTGAGAAAGAGAAGAGGAGTTTAAACAAGAGTATCCATACTTGTTTAAGGAATTGGAAACTTTCAGGAACGAAAGTTCTTAAAAGGAGGGTAGAATTGTAATAACCTAAACTAGTAATGATAATATGTATTTTGTATTTATTTGTTGTTGTGTTTGTTAATAATAATAATAAAAAAAATAATAATAATAAAAATAAAATTTGTAAATAAGGAAATTTAAAAAAAAAAAAACGAAAACACGGCAACCGCGTCAAACAGCTGCTGTAAAGGAGGATAAGGGGAATGGACGCGTGGGCTGGAGGTGTTGGAATGATGAAGGGTTTGCTAGATGGTGTGGAAGCAAATTAGGGAGTTAATTAGGCTTTAAAAAAAAAACGAACGAAGAGCAGCTGACAAATGAAAACTCAGAAAATAGAGGAGGAAAAAAAAAATTCTGAGATTTCGAGTTTGGGTTGCTTAAGTTTGGTTGTCAATCGAGGGTAAGGAAAGAGGTTGTTGCTGAGGAATCCTTTGAGGAAGGGGACACGGCCACAAGCGGAATCGGACGGTTATTCGAAGGTAACGAAAAAACCATATCACCGAACCTTTAAATCTCGATATCTTGGTTCATATTGCATAATAAATTATGAAATAGGGCTTGTTAAAACCGTAATTAGGAGATCTATAAAGTTGTAGAAGAAGTCAGAACGAAATCCGAGCTGTAGAGATGGAATATGGCTTCGGGATACAACGGGTATTAAAGAAAAAGTTTGGGAAAAAAATTGCAGGAAACAAAGGTTGAAGACAAGCGCGTGAGGGACACGCGGGGCGCGTGGGAGTCCGGGAGTGGGAGCACGACTGTCCGCAGATCAGTCGCGTGAGAAAAACACGCCGAGCGTGTGCAGGCGCGTAAGGGCGCGTGCGTCATTGTTTTGGCTCCCAGTTTGTCCCGTTCGACTCCTTTTGACCTGTCCTATCAAAATTGGTCTATACTTATGTTGAAATTGGTAAAATACAGATCTAATAGGAAGGAATTGTGTTGGAATACCTATTAAACGTACATTCAAGGGGAAAAGGAGTTCGAAACCAAGTAATAGCATATCGATCTTTGAACTAGTTCTTAACTTGTTTTACAACATGTGAATATGTTGTTTACCTGATTAAGAGCTTAGTATGTTAAGATGAGCTTTGATGATATTGAATGTTTATTGTATATTGTGACTGCTTGTCTGTGATGTAAGCATGATATAAATGATTGCCAGAATGTTCTATGTGTTGAACATGATAAATGTATGAAAGCATGCCGTAAATGTGAGTATGTTATGCATGTTAATGGAAAGGTTGGAAAGGTTATGACTCTAGGATATGCTTATTGGTGGTTGAGCCATAGCTTATTTATATGAGTATGATAGTCTACTAATTCCCGCGGAGTTCCTGACCAACGCATTGTGTGCTAAGTCAAGGAGCATGAATACTCCTGACCGTTGGTATATGAGATAAACAGGCCGCTAGAGAAATTAGTAGACGGGTTGTATTTGACCGAGAGCGAGTCTTACATACGATTCCGAAAATTCTAGATAAGCATATCGAGAGAGAGTCAGTAACCTAAGCTGGAGGTAGCTGTGATACCTCATTAATGAACAGATGACCCTAGTAAGAGAAACTAGGAGTCAAGGGCGAATAAAACTTAAAACACCTGGAAAGATTAGTTATGAACTCATGAAAGATAAGTTAGCTACTTACTGGATAATCTAATTACTCATCAAAATTATTATAACTTTTCTTTCCAGATTTAGATGATGCAGGCCAACCGAGGACGAGACCAGCGGGCTAGAGACTACTGGGAATCCATGTCTGGGTCTGTTTATGTAAATATATTTTCGTTGTTAAGATTTTTGTTGGTTAATAACGTTTTAAACAAAACTGTTTTTGTTTTAGTATTTTACTTAATATTATGAAATGTTTTTATTGGAAATTTATGATTTGATGTCAGAGTTTGTTATCAGTGTCGATTGTAACTCCTGTTAATCGCATTGTCGATGAGCGGGTGTTACAGACGCCAAGATGAGGCATAAGCAAAGATTGAGGCAACATGCAGAAAGCAGGGACAAAGATAGGCTTGATAAAGGGTCGGGTAGGACTCTGGGCCTTAACCTCAAAAATCAAAGTTTCGGAAGGAGTTTGGACATGCAGCTCTAGAGTTAAGTCTATCCATATGAAAGATGAAAGCTCGTCAAATTTAGTGTTGATCGGACACCAAACAAACGCTCCATGAGACCAATCACCAAAATCATGTCTATTCCTATTAGACCAAAAATGCTTCCAAAATATACTATAGAGGGAAAAATGCTTCAAAATATACTATAAAGGGAGGCATGGTGTCAACTCTCCACCACCCCTGGGCCCTGTGACCTAAGCAAACTACCATGTGGCACATATGTGTATCACACTGAGAGCAAGCATTACGAGACGAGTAACTTCCTTTGAAATAGGTCTTTCAAGGACACTGTCGGACACACAGGTCTGCCGACATTGCGCCCCCCGCCCACATGTCGGATATTGATATATGCACCTGCTATCCGTACGGAGTCTATAAATGATTTAGCATGGACATGGAAGGGTCCCTACCTCGATGGAACCCAATGGATAAATATTCGAGAGGCCTCGATAATATGAACGACACATGGGTCCATTCTTGAGGACATGCTTGAGTAAGCTACAATGGCCAATGACATCCTAAAATTTGGGATGGCATCATGACATGAATGCGGCTGGGAACGAAGGTGAGAATATAAGATGTGACATTGTACATGAGAGACCTTGGCCTCGAGTAGAGGCAAGGTCAAGTCAAATGACTTGGCCTAATACAAAGGCAAGTCGATTAAGGCCGCAGACAATTTAACATGCATGCACGGGCGGCATGCATGGCCGAACATACTAGTTTCCACATGAATTGTGTTCAGCTGGCAAAGACAAACCTTACCTAAGGTCCAATGAGGCCACAAAGCCAGACGAAAAATATATATGGGACTTAAGTTTTCCTTAACGCTTATCACAAGCCTTTCAAGATAATAACATCCCACTGTTAGAAATGTCCGACTATGACAACACTCTGCATGCAAGTGACTCATTTATTGGTATTTTCTTGCATGTCTCTTTGCATGAGGAGTGGCTCGGAGGTTCTGCAGGAGATTTACTTTTGGCAGTCAAATGATTGCTTGATTCATTGGGTTTGGTCAGCTTGCTTCAATTTCCATTTTGGAAGCATCTCAATTGTTTTTCTCTTTTTTTTTTTTTTCTTTTTTGTTGGATTCATGAATACTCTCAGGCTTTGTTTCTTCTTCTTTTTGGGTTTTCTTTGGCTTCTAAGTCTAGCTTTTAGGATGTTCGCAGTTAAAGTTTTACTTTCAGGATTTTGGTTGGGTTGCTTTTATTTTATTTTATTTTTTTCTTCTTTTACTATTGTTTCATTTTCCTTCTCTTTCATCCCTCCCTAGTGGAGTTCGTCTTGAGCATTAATATATTTTCATTTCTTCAATGAAAAGTTCCATTTCTAGTACAAAAAATAAAAAATATAATAATAAAAAATGACTACAACAAGCTTACACCAATTGGGCATTTGACAGAATTTGTCCACCAGCATCTGTTGAGGGGAACTTTGTTGGGATCGCTGGAGAGGAAAGAAGATTGCTTCCAGCATTTGTTATGCCACTGTTATTGAAACCACTTAGGGTAGAGTTTCCAAATGTTTGGCTAGGAACTTGGCTACCAAATACACCTACAAATTCGACAATCAGAAGAAACTAAAAGTTTATGATCGCAATAGTAAATAAAACAATAACCACACTTCACAGCTACCATTAGGAATGCACAAAAACCATATCAAATCGAAAGAGCTTTAGCTTTTTACCGAAATGATTATGGAACTCTCCTGCAGAATAACTCACTACACTGCCCAGCTTTACCCATCTGGGACTACGGGTGCATTTGGGATTGCTTTTACAATGGTCAAAAGTAATTAAAGAAGCATCTTTAACTAATCTTTACTAATTTTCTTATTTGGTAAAACTAGTTATTCATTAATTCATCTGCAGTCACTTTTCAGTTTTTTCTTACATGCAAAATTACATACCTAGCAGTTTTTAAAAAACAGCTTTCCTAAAAGTCTGCCGTATTCTCTAAGACTTAAAATTTTCAATCTCATCATAATACATATCTTTTTTTCTTTCAAATCTATTTCATCCTAGATCGATAAAATCAAAATATTGATTGACTCAATTTTTTAAAACAATGGTCTTACTTACGCATCAGCGACCATCGAAAAGGAGTTTTTTTCATGTGGGAAAGTGGTATTAAAAGGTTGTATCAAATAACTTATATTAAACAAGATTACTTGCAATTTAAATCATATAAAACCTTAGTTCATCGTTTTACATTCTTAGTTCATCTCCCATTCATAGAGATACTTTTTCGTTGATTTGGAAACAATGATCTGATAAAAACAAGTCACAGCCTAACTTCTACAAAAACTCGTGAACATACCTCCAACTGCACCGGCATTTGTTGATGGAAAATTGGTTGCTCCAAAGGCACTCGAATTTTCAGGGGAGCTTGAAAATTGAACTGGCTGGCCAAAAGCATTATTAGGTGGGTTAGAGGGCCTGTAAAATAAATTATCAAAATGTTAGGCCGAATGATTTACACAGACGGCATAGCATCAAATCAATTTTGTAAAGTACATACAATCTCATAGATAAACACTAAAATCAAGCTGTTTTATTCTTACCTTGCACCAAATCCCGTATTAAGTGATGCACCCAACTGGCTAAAACTTGACAATGAAGGAGGACCGCTATTTTGAGAACTTGGTTGAATTGAAAGAGAATTAGTTACTATCAGTGAGCTTTGGTTGCCAGAAGCACGATTTGATGGTGTTACATATGGCTTATGAAGAAGGCTCTCAAACTCAGCTAACTTAGAATTAAGTAAATTTCTCTCCCTTTCAACCTGTAACAGGATACATGAAGTTAATAGTTAAGGAAAGATGTAAATGTTACCACATTATGTTGTCAGATAGGGAACAGTTTCACCAATATTATGAAATTATACAACGGAGCATAACCCATCTAAAGAAGTTACAAAAACCTTCCCCAATTGGTAAGAAGAGAGATTATGCTATAGTTGCTAAAAGGTAGAATATTTTTACACCAAGATAATGCCAGAAAAGATAGGTATAATCAGTCAAAGCTTCCTATATCAAAAGAATGGAAGCGTTAGTTACTGCTTCACAATTCACGTACGAGGGATTGAATATTACTCGAGTCAAAGATTAAACCATTGCAATAATTGAACATGTACTCTACACGTCTAAGTTGAAGGTTTGGATAAGGGCTGCTTTTTCGTGGTTTGTGAGGGTAGGCTATTTTGCAGGGCCTTTGGATTGAGAGAATCAAATTTTATTCCTACATACCAAACACAGAATCCTATTACCAAGTAAACCATTACATTCCCAAGCTTCATATTCCTATTTTGCATACCAAGAGCCTCCTTGTTAATTTTTCTACTTTCAATCTCATCTAATCAAATCTTGAAACTCAAATTAACAGTTGAAGGGTTTGAGATCTTTCTCTCTCTCTTCAAATGTTTGTTGACAACAAAGGTAAAAATCCAATAGGAACGCTAGGAACGGGAACAAGGGGATGAAACCGAGATGCATACCCCATTTAGGATTGGGATTCCCACAAGAGAATTTCTTGTTTTTTTATTTAATTATTTGTTTCATTAAAATTATATTTATTCGTGACAAAATTAGAAATTACATTATTTATTAGTTTAAATAACTATACATATTAATAATTGGAAAAGAAATGGATAGGGGAAGGTTAAAGTGAATAAAAATTCCCTGCCCCCATCTCTCCAAGAAGAAAATAAAAAAATAAAAAAAACTTGTTTTTCTATGATCCTATTTTAGTAGGAAATTCACTGTCCCACCAGTATGGATTTTTGCCACCCCTAGGATTACCCATAGCTCCTATCATGACATTAGCCAAATAAAACCACGCAAACTAAAAATTGAAATTGTGAGGTCCAATCATATATAAAGATAATAATATAATTTTCAAAAACCATGGTACATTCTCATCTGTGGAATATTTTTAAAACAGAAAGTAATATATATACAAGGAGAGTTCATTTGACAAAAAAAAAAAAAAAAA